GTGAAACATAAAATATTGCTGTACTTATATGTATAATGTGATCCAAGTTCCGCATATAAATCAAAGTATATCGGGAGTAAGGGTAGCAACAAGATATCGAGGTACATAAAGTATATGATTATGTACGTCATAAAGGAACTTAATTGAATATTAGATTTTCCCGTCGATTGATGGGACCGAAGTGCTCGGTCTCAGGTTGAAATGTCAGCTTCTTGTGCAGATGCTTCGACGATGTCTGGGCATGTAATGACTAGCACTGGAATCCAGGATGCGCATTTCGTCCTATTTGGGACTCGTCATCTGAATATGCCTGCATTCCCCAGTGACTGATGATGTTCCCACCGAGGCTGGAACCCAGCCATCGTCGAAGCATCTGCACAAGAAGCACTTCGGTCCAGTCAATCGACGGGAAAATCTTAAATTGAATTCAATAATTAATATGACCCGTTGCACAAGACAAAGGTGGCTCTCGCGGCCCAACTTGTCTAGTGGATAACGCTTTGGCGTTTGAAACTATAGGCACTTGGTTCGAGCCCCACTGGTAACAACCACAGCAAACTTTGGGTAAGTGGATATAGTTTGCAGATAGATAATCTGAACTTCAATAAACGACCACAAAGAGATGAAAGATTAACGTTCAACGAGAAACCACCAATCAGAAAACTGCGTTTGTTTGCTTACGATAATCTATTATAATGTACATGAAAATATATAAATATGTGTTGATTTCCTAAATAAACGATCTGTTGCCTGACCCTTGTCTTCTGCCGTTACACTAGTAATTCTGTGCCACTTAATTGAGCGTTTGATAGAACACCCCTACATAAGTTCTTCAGATACCTAATCAACAACAGCAAGCATCAATCACGATTAACTGGAGAAATCCAAAGTCAGTCACTTCTTTCACTTATCTAAGCAGTATAATTTCATCTACAGGTTAGCGCAGATAAGTATGTCAAAGAAAGGATCTGGAAGGTAAATCTGAAATCAACGTGTAAATTTGCTACACTCAGCATAACAGACATGATCGGAATCTTCAACACCTAACATTAAGTTAGTGCTTCAATATGGTTCAGAGATTTGGTACAGGATTCATCAAAACCATTTTGAACAGTCTTTGAACTTTTATCAACAGATACCTTCCCTCGATAATGAAAATCTGATAGCCGGAAAATATATTAGCAAAATGAACCTTGACAGTGTATCAATCAACATTCTACTGTTCAAGAAATCTGCGGAAGAAAATGGAAATGTTTTCAAGAGTTAGTTTGTAAGGATTGTATTTGTTCCATGTTTAACCACGGATTGATGTCAGTTAGAATACCACTGAAAACCAACTAGGGAGTAGTGGACAGGTGTTTCGTCCTAGTTAGGGACTCATCGGTAGTACGTACCCAATGGGTTTCGAACCCACTCCATTCAGACATTGGCACGCGACTCAATACTCATTGATAGAAACAATTGACTTTATAGACACTATATAATAATAATAATTTACTTTATTCCAAAAACAGTACTTGTGATACAGAATGGAATTTTCAGCATTAATCACAATATTGCATCTAATTTCCTCAAATTATAAATAAAAATTAGTCACACAGAAAATTTTCCACATTTACAATAGCGGTAATGACAAAAAAACATGCAGCATATAAAATGGAAATAATAATAATAATAGCTAAGGTAATAATAGCAATAATACAAGTGGAAATTGCTGTGGGCTTGTTTCACACAGTATTGTGTCGATGCGGTATACAAATCCTTGCATGTTTAAAAATATTGAATATAATGTTCTCTTAACATGATATGGTGAGGGGAAAAACAAAGATTACAGCAGTCATAGAGATAAGTTGGTGTTTGCAATTATGGAAGTGAAAACAAAGAATCAACAGGACCATAAATATAATAGAAATAATAAAAGTAAAACTTGAAGGTATATAAGGATGGATGGAGGAAATTGTTTACTTACTAGATGAAAAAAGGCTAGTTAATTCTTGCCTGATACTATTTTCATCACATAAAATACGTGCCAAGTATGATATCATAGAATTTTTATACTTAGACGTGCAAGCATACAGTTTCCTGAAGTTACTTCTTGTTCTACCTGAGAAGATGCAAGGTGAAAGCTGAGGGTGAAGTGGATGCTCCAAGTGAGACAATGAAGTTATGCAAAAGGATATTGTTGGCTGACCGCCACCTATGTCTTTTTAAATAACTTCAGGATAACTATAATATTAAAAATATCACTGAAGAATAAATAATCATCGTACATTAATATTCATTTTCTTCGATTAATATCTTAGCAAGTTCTGTTTCTTTAATAGAATGAATAGTCGTCTTCTTTTAAACATAGAAAAGCAGTCCCAGACGGATATCTGGAAAATTCTACTACCTCTACGACGACAAATAGGAGAGAACAAAGGAAACTATAAAACCAAGCACCTACTACCGAAAGTAGGTATAAACACACAACGAACTTTGCAGTCTCATAGTAATCTTGCAACCACATTACGCGACGTAAATAATTCAACTTTTCGGACAATTTTTCACATAAAGCCGCGACACGCTCGGCAATTTTTTCTTCAGGTAAAGTGATGTTCAATTCAAACAGATACTTAAATGGGTCTTTCGATGAATTTGATTCGAATGGGAGCGTAATAGCATTATAAAGCTTCCAAGCCGTAGTGCAGCACATTAACGACATTCCGGCGTAAGTGATAAAAGAAATCAGGGACATACAGACTCTTTTATCGCTTACGCCGGAATGTCGTTAATGTGCTGCACTACGGCTTGGAAGCTTTATAATGCCATTTCGCTCCCATTCGAATCAAATTCATCGAAAGACCCATTTAAGTATCTGTTTGAATTGAACATCACTTTACCTGAAGAAAAAATTGCCGAGCGTGTCGCGGCTTTATGTGAAAAATTGTCCGAAAAGTTGAATTATTTACGTCGCGTAATGTGGTTGCAAGATTACTATGAGACTGCAAAGTTCGTTGTGTGTTTATACCTACTTTCGGTAGTAGGTGCTGGGTTTTATAGTTTTCTTGGTTCTCTCGTATTTGTCGTCGTAGGGGTAGTAGAATTTTCCAGATATCCGTCTGGGACAGGTGTTGAATCATTCCTATTACACGTGTTTGCCATTGATTCGATAAACAAAGCTTCTGTTATCAATCTCTCCCTCCACCATGTTAGCTGTATTAGATTTTAAAACTGCCATCTTACCCTATACAGCCTATTGTATGGCTGTGTGTGTGTAATTTCATCAGTTGTAGTGCTATGGCAGCTGAACTATTCTCTAGATTTCTTATATTATTCGGGTCAACCAGTCTAGATTTTGCTGCTAGGTTTTTTTGTTCGGCTAGTCTGACTGCCCCTGTTCTACTAGTTTCACCTATGTATTTAACCTGACAATCAATGCAGACAGTGTATTAGATAAACAAAGTTGTTTTGTTTAATTGGCTGCACAGGATTGATCCTCTAACCGACGATGCTTGTTTCTAATTAAGTTTGTGGTTGGTTTGAATGCCAACCGCTTATATGTCTGCCTTGTTAACAATTCTGCGTAAGCTGGTTTCCGAGGTTCCTTCCTTGTATGAAATTACAGCTCAGCTGGTTTTCAATGACACTTCTCCAATTGAAGTCAATTTATCGATCGAAATTGAAGTTGATCAAATCTTCACGAAGCAACAAAATGAAAACACAATACAATACAATACAATACTATTGATCACACTGAGCTGTATTATTCAAATCTTACTATACTACTACTACTATTACTACAATGGAAGTCTTTTGTTGAAAAAAAAATACAGAAAAACCTACTTCCTGAAACAGTAGTTAGGATAGTAACAAAGAAAAAAGGAACATTGTAGTCGAAAATAAGTGAAAAAAGCAACAACAACAGAAAAGTGAGGTTTCTCACTCAAAAATAAAATAAAATGAAACGAAAAGAACCGAGAAGAGGTAGAAGACTATCTTCACTCTTGTCAAGCGAAACGGTTTGGATTTTTTCTTAAAGAAGCGGGGGAAACGAAAATACGTTACACAAAATAGACGATATTAATGATTTGAAAAACAAAATACACTTAAACTGAAGTAAAAAAAATAAATTAAGTGGGTTTACCGTCGATCTGAAAGGATATACCACCAGATACCTGAGGCGGGGGAAAAAAATTAAAAGTCTTTTCTTAATTTAATTAATAAATAAGGCAAAGACTGACTGTAGTGTTTGTTAATGGCACTAGCTATAAAAGTGTAAGATAGATAGATAGATAGACAGACAGACACACCCACACATGATTGGTTGATGCAATCTTCTAATTATTAATACACACACACACACAAGTAGGTGGTTGTATCTTCAAAAAATGGCCTGAATTTATCTATTCACATACTGACAACTCGCCTATAACAAAGGGAATGTGTATTGTGTGTGTGCGTTTGGGGTTGAATCGATGTATCCATTGTCGTGAGGTACACTTCTTATGTGTAAGGAGAATCATCAAATATGGGTGCGCGTATGGCACTCACGCATACATACATACACACACACGAGCGCACAATACAATGTTACATCAAAATCGATAGAAAAAACGCCTAGTGTTTAAAGAAAAAGGGTAATAGACAGGTATAAATACACAGCAGTTATGCACAGGTATTACTACTTCTTTCTCGGAAAGGTTTGTTATGCAAAATATTATTACGTAATAGAAGAGGTTACATACATATAGATATAAAAATGTATATATCACAGATAGAAATGGAATGACACTCCCTAAAATTGTAATCAACCAGGTGAAATGAATACACCAATTCTATGTGAGTTCATATATAATAATGAGAGCCTTAAGTGCCGAGATACTACTCATAATATTCCCATGTAAAAAAGTAGTATCGTCAGTACGAGAAAAAAACACAATAGATTAATCAAAATTCAATCAAGAAATTAGCAGTAATTGTAGGGAATTAATCCTCATATCATAATATCGGGTGTAATTCTAACAGAATCCATTTAAAGTGGCAGCATACTCCTTCAAATCTTTTAAATGTGCATCAATTTGTTCTTCTAACAAGGCTGAATGTTTTTGTTCATCTGCTAAGAATTTTGCGGCTAAATTATACACTTCTGTATCTTCTTCACCGTCATTGTCGTATTCTTCTTCTTCTCCGTTTTCGTGATTACCATCATCATCACCTCCTCTTCCAATGTGTAAATTGATATGATTGACTTTTGAATTGTTGAAATTTGATGAATATAGTCCATGAGAGAGTGACGGTGGTGGTGGTGGTTGTAGCGGAGAAGTTGATTGTATCGATGATGACAAAGATTTCAGAATTGTTGAATTGTACGGACAATGATTCAGTGAATTATCTTCATTTGATAATTGAGACTGAAAGAAGGAAAAATATATATTTAGACATACAGGGTGGAGGGTCATACCTAAACTAAAAGGAGAGAAAATACCTAATAAATAGTAGTATTTATGGATTTTATAGACTACACAGCAGGCCAAGGTAACAATAGTAAGTCTGAGTTAGAGAGAGAGGGACAGAGCTCCATTTGTTCAAAAGATGAAATTAAAGGTGAATTTGGGATTGTATTTTTTTTATTCCGTTACGTTACCAGTGGAACATAGGGCTCCAAGCTACAGGCTTGAAGTTTCTGTAACAGTGTTGATTATTTTTACAGGATAGGTTTGCTAGCCTCATGCCCAACCTTCCCTCTTTACCAATCTGATTACTGGATTAGAGAGATAAAGGAGTGCGTCTGTGGCCGGGGATGGAACCCCGGACCACCTGTGTGATCGGCGAGCACTCTACTTCTTGCATCTAACTTAGTGGACACCATTGATCACAGCTTCCCACTAGAACTTCAGGCTACTTTGCCAGCTATTCGATTCCACCCCAGTGGTTGTATGGCCAACGAGCTCACCTTGTAACCTGAAGGTCCCGAGTTCGATCCCTGGCAGTAGAGTCATGTGTGAGTACTACTGGAGAGTCTCCAAAAAGAACAAGAACGAAACAGTTGTCGATTAGTTGCTGACTTTCAGTTGATTCTTTAACTGAAGTCCCTTCTTTGTCAATCTTAAAATAAATAAATAAATAAATTACGGAGGGTTTTTCACTATCAAATATGATTCGCAGTTTACTAATGCTTCTTACCCACTAATAGGGTTTTCCCTCCAATTCATCACTTTTTTTTCAAACGCGTTAGTAATATCACTAGGATTTCCATTGAGTGATCATATTCATTAATTAATTCCCTGCATTAGCTAGTTAGTGATTAGCTTCCTTAATTAGAGGATTCGTGAAATTAATAATAGCAATATTTAGAAATCCAATCGCTAATATCAATAAATATATATATTTATATATTTCTACTGCTGAGCAAACATATTTTTATTACAAAACATGTGACGTTATAAGGAAAATAGGATGAGAAGACAAACCAAACAAACTGTTTGTTGATTAGTCGGTAGTAATGCTGTGACCTTATGATGAATGAAAATTGAGATAACTAACTTTCCATCTCACCAACTACCCTACCAACTTATTGGGGCGAGTTTAGTCACAGAGAAAAAGTTTGGATGTGTGTGTGTGTGTTTGAAACGTATTCAGTTTGGTCACGATAGTATACAGAAGTTACGGACAGCTGTTTCATCCTAGTTTTGGGAATCATCGGCAGAACGCACCCACTGGGATTCGAAACCAGGACCTTCCGGTTACAAGGCAAGCTAGCCACTGGGACCCAGTTCAGTGGTCAGTCCATGAATTCTAACTTCTACCAATTCGTGATATAGCGCGACCCCCACTAATGTCGTTGGTGGGACATCAATCCACACACGTGACATCTGCATGGACCTCACTGGTCACGACTTCTCACTAGAACTCCAGGAAACTCCATCCTGTAGCAAGTCACTGACGAACATCAGAATTATTTTCTACAGTTTGATTTGTAAGGGTTAGTTTTGTTTTTACGAGTTGATCACGGATTGTTATAAGTTAGAGAACCATTTAAAACCAGCACTGGAATACAGGACAGCTGTTTCATCCCAGTTTAGGAAATCATCAGCAGTACGTCATTGAATCAGGTCCCAGTGGCTGAATGGTATACGAGCTTGCCTTGTAACCGGAAGGTCCTGAATTCGAATCCCAGTGGGTGTGCACTGCCGATAATTCGCAAACTAGGATGAAACAGCAGCTGTCCAGTACTCCACTGCTGGTTTTCAATGCTTCTCTAACTGATATCAATCCGTGATCAACTCGTAAAAACATAACTAACCCTTGCAAACCAAACTATAGAAAATACAGAAGTACCAACAAAACTAAAAGCTAGAATATCACATTAGCATCAAAATTATAGGAAATCGATTGTATATGACACCCTAATTGACAATAGCTGTCCAAGAAAATTCATAATGATCCAGATCATAATATATATTATCCGCTTGATACAGAAAGCAAGCATAAATGCATTACACTTCATACTACTGATTGATTGTGATGAGTAGTTGGATATTATTCACATCAACTAGCAGTGTTCACATTCCCATAGGAAATAATCACCTAGAACAGTGTGAACTAGTCTACAAATTGTGAATTAGATTTATGGTATGCACAGTTCATCCAAGTATCTAGCCATAGATCCAGTGATTTGAACTGATTCAGCTGTCTGAGCTGAGTTGAATGGATACAACGCTGATGAACTCATCCTAGAACGGCAGAAGCGGTCGTCCGATGTTGCTGGCTAACGTCACACTAGTTACTAGTGTCCAATCAAAATACCCACTACAGTCCTAAAGGAGGTCAATCGTGAGCCCAAATAGTTCCTCAGCGGTAACCTCTCTGATTGCAGCACTGGGTGACTCGTGTTCGAATCTCATAAGGGACATGAGTTCCTTCAAGGTTGCAGATACGCCCTGACGACGAGTGCCAACTAGCATGAAACCTGGGTCAAGGCTTCCTGTGGCCGATTGCCTCCAACTATCTAATATCATTAAATACTATTCATTTCAGTCGATCAGTAGTAAGTAGCAAAGTGTATTTATGCTTGGTTGGGAGTACTGGACAGCTGTTTCGTCAGCCTAGTTTGGGACTCTTATTCAGGAGCACACACCCACCGACAGGGTTCGAACCTAGAACCTTCTGGTTACAAGGTGAGCTGGCTCGTAGGCCATTAAGCTACTGGGATCCAATCCAATGGCCAGCCCATGAATTCCAACTTCCGCCAACTGATGACATAGTGCGACCGCTTCGTAATGTCTTCTTCGATGAGTTACTGCCTCACCTTCAGCCTTCTATACCCAAATGGTCATAACTTCCCACTATAATCCCGTTGTCATTTGAATCAGGTCCCAGTGGCTTAATAGTCTGAGAGCCAGCTCGCCTTGTAACCATAAGGTCCTGGGTTCTAACCCTGTCGGTTGGTGCGTACTACTGAAGAGTCCCAAACTAGACGGACGAAACAGCTGATTTTCCAGTAGTTCTCTAACCAATGTCAGCTCATGATGAGATCCTGTAATCAATCAATAAATCCCTGCAAACGAATACTTGTGAATATACTTTTATATATAATTCATGTAAACGTGTGCAAGTCACAATTGTGAATACAACCCAAATAGGTGTGAATATTGTTACAACAGATAGGTTAACAGCTGTTTTCATAATTACTATGCGCACCAGCAGTAGTTATGTACTGTTTTGTTGTGATTTCTTCTTTTATTACAAAAAAAGTCACTTTTTTATTTTAACGGGTACAGGTGTATGTATATTTTATTTTTGTTTTATATATATATACATGGAATGATCAAATTAATCTGTACAACTGATACTTTCTGACTAAAATGAAGTTTCAAGACTGGTCAGAATATACTTTTGTTGGGTACCTCTCTAGGGTAGGAAGAGAAATCTTATTCGTTCTGTATGCTCGAGAATTCGGATAGTGTGCTCTATAGATATGGTCGACATTGAACTAGAAAACCTTCGTACAACAACTCTCTTAAATAGTAGATTTCCTAGAAGATCTATGGACAGAAACATCAAGAAAGAAACCATTCCCAGGCAAATCACAGCGCCAAAGAAGACGCTATTTATGAGTTTAACGTTAAAGGTGACAGTATTTCTGAAGTCATCAAAAGTCGTTTATTTCAATGTATGAAACACTGTTTTTATGCAGCTGAATTACATTTGGGATTTACCAGCCAAAATATGATCCGACAGTGTGTTAAGGATAAACTACCGCTTGTGTTCACCCCTATGTGCATATACTCATTCACATATTCGTGTGGAGCTGATTACACCGCGACATTGTAAGCGTGTACTCCGTAAACGCGTAGCTGAACACTATTCGGTTTGGTTAATGAAAGGTGAGCATAGAACGACGAAGTTTTCAATTTGTCAACACACTCTGGAGTCAGGTGACTCAGTCTCACGTGATTTATCCTTTAAAGTTATCTACGGAACCAAATCCAGTCACTTCAAAAGCTTACGTTTTCTCCACTTATGTATAGCCAAAGCTCTGGTCATACATTGAGGAAAACCTAAATTATGCATTCAAAAACGTTTTGTGAAACCGTTTTTCTTTTTCTTGGTCATAGTAATGTTCTTTTATTTTATTCAATTTTACAACTTGAATTCACTCTACTTCACTTCATTTTCACCGTCTTTCATCACCGTTATCATCATCGTACTCTGAATTTCCTAGAAAATACCTGACCTACAATTTTAAGAAAATCTTTATACCAGTTCACTTATTTAATAATCTTTAATATAAGTTATGTAATTCATCCACTTCAATCAAATCTACTGCGCCCCTTGCTCCTTTTTCTTTCCTTCAGGTTCCCCAATGGAACATAGGGCTTCAAGCCAGTGGCTTGAGGTTTCTGGAGCAGTGCTTATTTCACAGGATGGGGTTGCTAGCCTCATACCCAAGCTTTCCTCTTCACCAGCATTATTTCTGGCTTAGCGAGGTAAAGGAGTGCGTCTGTGGCCGGGGATCGAACCCCGGACCATGTGCATGGTCGGCGAGCGCCCTAACCGCTATGCTCCTTAGTACACCATTTTAATTATCTTTATTCTCATCATAATTATATTAACTGAGCAATTTCTAGTGCCACTTAATACCCTTTTCCGTTATATAAATACGACTGCGTACGGCTTAAAAATGAATTCGTTGAAAAGAGATATTCCTTCACTGAACAAAATCCTATGTTTTGTTGGTAAACCATTGAAAACAAACAAGGAAGTATAAGGCATCTGTTTCGTCCTTGTTTTTAGAACTCTTCAACAGTATGCATGTATGACACTACCAAGGATCAGCAGTACCCAACACCTTAAGGTTATCTCATACAGAAACTTTCTTTTATAAATTTCAGCAGTAAAGGAACACAAAATTGGTGCAGAATAACATGGATCCATTTTATTTCGTTGGTTCTCATCACCTGCATGCAACCCATAATCTTTAATAAGATAAGTCTGTATAAAATTGCAACATACTTTTGTCTATCAACAGCTGTACTGTAAGAGCGTCATAATGAGATAGAAACATAAGGATGATTAGGCACCTGAAGCATTACAGTGTATGTATATGTATATATTGTTAGAGAGGTTTGTCGAAAATTAACTAACAAAGTTACTGCGGTAGTAACAAAAACTATTAATAATTAAGCCACTTTGATACACCGCATGAAAGATAATTAGTTTCGGTTAACACCAAATGTTTCAAAACGAAGGCTGAAAAACACTCGAAATCAATGGTGACCATGTAGTACCAATAACTTTCTGCAAAATTACAAACTTTCATTTGTGAATAAACATAAGATACAGTCTAACAGGAGGTCAATCGCGAGTCCGAATAGCTCAGTGGTGGGTGACGTCTCTGACTGCAACAATGGATGATGCGGATTCGAATCTCAGAAAGCAGATGAGTTCCTTCAAGGTTTCAGACACGTTGTTCTGACTAGTGTCAACTACTAGCGTGAAACCTAGGTCCAAGGCCTTCTGTGGCCGATTGCCTCCAAACATCTAACATCAAGCATAGGAATGTTTAGTTATTCACTCTCTTTATTTCTTCTCAATACAAGGTTATTTAACTAAATTGGATGCCACATTTCTTGGTTTTGTGCTTCAAGAAGTATGCGTTCAAATCAATATCAAAAGTGAAAATTAATCAACCTAATGTACAAAGGGTAGGGATGTAATCAGCGCAAGCCTATGACTTGCACTTAACAGGAATTCCTCGTTCACAGGGAATAATTGCAAGTCATGATCCCAGTCACAACAGTAATGAAACAGTTTACCCAAACCTATCGGGCCAAGTTTCTAGACTCGTTGGCACCGTCATTGTAGCGATTGTGTGGCCCCGGATATCTAAGGGCGTCATAGACCTGTCAATGGCCAGTTTCATGTGATTTCAATGGGCTGTCTGTCCCTCTAAGAAGTAAAAACTGGCACTGTACTCCCCGGATCACGACCACAGTACTCCATAAAGAATCAGTAGAAGCCGCGCCCTGAACGAACATAGAGGACCAGTCTACTATTTAGTAGGTTAAAATCTCGTTCGTTATCGGAGTTAACCAGATACATCCTTCCACCAATTAAGAACGGCTACGCACCACCATCCACTGAATCAAGAAAGAGCTTTCAATCTATCAACCCTCAAAGTTTCTGTACCGGGTGAGTTTCTCCGAGATGAGTCGAATTAAACCTCAGACTCCAACCCTGGTGGTGCTCTTCCGTCAATTCCTTCAAGTTCCAGCATTGCAACCATACTTCTTCCGGAGCCCAAAGACTTGAAGGTTTCCTGGAGACTGCCCGCGATGTCAATTAAAGAACCATCGAGGATCGTCAGTTGGCATCGTTTATAATCAGAACTACGACGGTATCTGATCGTCTTCAAAACTCTGACTTTTGCTCTTGATCAATGAAAACATTCCTGGCAAATGCTTTCGCTGTATTTTGTCTGGTGATGATCCCGGAATTTCAGTTCTAACACAGCCATACAAATGCCCCCCGTCTGTCCCTGTTAACCATCACTTCGGATCCAAAATCTAACAAAATAGAATCGAAGTCCTATTTCAATATTCCATGCAAGAATTTCTAGGCACTAATGCCTCCCTTGAGCACTCAAATTTGTATGTGTTGAAATCAATATTAAAACTGAAAATTATTCACCCTTATGTATTATATACAGTATCATGAGGTGTTAGAGATCACTGTACACTTACCAAATTTAACCCATTGTTTAACTGATAACTCTGAGGATGTATATGTGAATCAATAAAAGACGTGTTGTGTTTACTGGTAACAGAAAAATGTGGAACAGTTGTAGCCACAATTCTTATTGATTGGGCATTTGAATCCTCCGGACTGTTCAATCGATATGTGTTCTGCAGTGCGCCGGCAGATAATTTATTGGTGTTGAAAAGATTCTGTGTTTCAGTCACCGGTGGTGGTGTTTTTGTTGATAAAACACGTTCGTAACTAGTAACATTTTCAGATTGATGTGAACTAGATTTTTACAAAAATAAAATAAAACAAGAAAGATATGGATTTCTAGGTCAGAATTTTAGATAATTCAGGCTTATTCTTACACAATATACACTCTTGATCTGATTAGAGTACAAGGTAGCCCTCCCCGACCCCCCCCAATCGTTCCAAATTAAAACATCAGGTCTAGCCAGTGATTTGCCGACATGATTCAGGTTGGTGAGTCTCAATTCCTAAAGCAAGAGTCGAAGAACATTATCCCACTTGGCTACGAAAAGGTAACAGTGGATCAATAAAGAGTTCTATAATTGAACATATAGTCAACACTGGTCACTCAGCACGTATGGAGAATTCAAAGTCAACTACAAAGTCAAAAACGGGCTCTCGAAAACGGCAAGCTTCCGTATACTTTGCATTGCCTAGGCCTTAGCGATCCGGATAGAAAACCCTGGTTTATGCACACAGAAGAAACTTCTCCACTGCCTCCTACTACCTTGGGTATAATTCCATGTTCTACGATTTTGTTAATGATGTTTTGTTTTTTGTTTTTTTTTTGGATTTTTGCATGACGTCTTAGTAAAATCTTCTTCTTAACCAACCCTTTATTTACTCTTTCTACCTATTGCATAATTTATTTTTTGGACACGTGTTTCCATTATCATGCCATTTCCTATTGCGCAACCCTTGTCAATACTTACCAATCTTCAACCCCCCCTAGTTGCAACTTTGATTATTCATCACATTTTAGAAACATTTTGATGACGTAAATAGTAACCCTAACTAATTTTTATTTTATTTTTGTCTGACAATCCTAATGTAGACACACACGCACATACAAATAATTAAATATAAATGAGACTTTAGTTATGATGGAGAAGATTTATAGATCAGGTGGATGATTTGGATGTGGTTGTGTTCTCTGAGCTGGATAGTTAATTTGCGAAGCTTTCATCGCCCTACTAAGGGACATCTTCAGCGCATACTTGTAGATTTCTCCACGAGTTTATTAATCATCTCTCCTGGTGACCTTGTACGTGATAGGTTGCTTTTCTGTGTTTTCACACCTTCTAGGTTACTTGTATTGTAACTCATTGTTTCTTTGACTTGACCTTTGACCCTTTGTGTGTGAGGTTTCCTTCTTATCGGTTGATAAATTTTGTCTATCTCTATGTGTCTGTTGATTGACTATTCACTGGAATGCCAGGTTTCTAAAACTTCTCTAGCGTTTTTGGTGTTTCCTCTGTCCAATATTAGGTCACCAGGAGAGATGACTAATAAACTCATGGAGAAATCTAAAAGCTCACTTCAATTTGAATTTAAGTATGCGCTGAAGATGTTGCCCATTAGGGCAATGAAAGCTTCGCAAATTAACTAGCCAGCTCACAGAACACAACCACATCAAAATGTGACTTTACAGCTAAGCGATGAATGAATTCGCTGAAAAGAGACTCTTCACTGAACTTTGTTGTTCTTATATTCATGTCTGCATGGATATTTTCCATGAATTAACGATATACTTTGCTAATGTTGATATCAACTGAGTTTTTGTAAAAACGTCTTTTACAAACTTTTGGAAAAAAAAACTTAAGAAAAGACACTTCAGTTGAACCAAATATAAAACATAATACCAAAAAGGACAGAAGCACAATATATGGCATAAGGTAGGGAAAACAATCCAAAGGAATTCTAATGAGAGGAAATGTATGGAAGAAATTAATAAGCATGTGCAGAATAATGAGGATTTCATAGAGTGAATGCATCTGCACTGCTTTGAATGAATTTGAGTCATATCACCTATAGGAAGTCTCCAGCCACTGGTTCTCAGTGCTGTCACCATAACCCTAGCTAGGAAACTTACACTTCTCTTTGTGACTAGTTCAAACAGATAGTCAAAGACTTCACGAACTAATACCACCACTAACTCATTTTCCAACTGTATTCCATGTCGACGAGGAAGACGACAGGTTGGTATGCGTATGTCCCAGCGTATGCTTCAAAGACTTATCCCAGCCATTTCAATCGATACAGCATCACAACTTCACCAACTGACTTGATCTCCTTAGCTAACACTCTAAGTTTAACTTCAGCATTACTCACAGTATATTAATAATGATAATAAATAATCTGCTTTATTCCCAAAACAGTACTTATGATACAAAATGGCATCTCCAGCATTTTTCACAATATTGCATGCATATGGATGAACCTGATTTGGTGGTCACCGGAAACCAAGGCAATATAGCTTTTGACTTTGTTCCACTGCCTTGCGAACTGATAAATCAACGTAAGATTCCGCATAAAAGTGCATTAGTTGAAGCTTTCAAATTTTTAACATTCAAAATCTCATGAAAAGTAAAACGAAAATCACACTTGTCACTACAACTTACTTGGTCATCTCATTCCCATTTGATGAATTCCGATTACAATCGGCAACTTTCACTAAAGCTGTGGGAGATGGTGAAGCAGATAAACGTAGAGGTGGTACTAGTTTTCGTGTTGCTTCGCTTAATTTACTCGACGAATCGATTGATTTCGCTTGACCACTTCTTCTGAAAATTTCATTCATAGTCATTAGTTCAGACTTTACATTTTTGCCGGGTGCTACATCATTAGTAGAAGAAACAGCAGTAGGCGAATTCATGTTGCTGCTACGAAATTCACCTCGAGAATTTGAACGACTTTTAGTTATTTGACTAATTGTTTCATCAACTTCAGAATTATTACTTCTTTCATCGGCCACCATATTGTTATTATTAACTCCTTTGAAGCAATGAAGTGATTCGTATTGACCATCATTACTACTTAAATAATTGATCGATGGTGTAGATGTCAAGTTTGTAGCACAACTTAAATGTGTTCGATTAAACTGTTCTGCATTTGTTAGTAAATCAGATAAAGCTAAATTCTCCTGAAGGAAAGAAGATCAATTGGAAAGGTTACTAGTGGTTTGAAGACGAAGATTAGTTGAAGAACTGCTTGCGAAAAATAAAATGATACAATATAAATATGAAAGGCTTCAGACAGCCTATTTCCCCGACTGCAGTCCTCTTTAACCGACTCTCTACACGACTGCTGGCTAGCTTTCATTTCTTTGTCATACAATCCCCTCTATGTCACTCTTGGACAACCAAAGAATTTATTAATATTTAATTGACAATGTTTATTCATTCTGCATATTTGTTACCGAGAAATCGAAATGGAGAGGGGGGGGGAGCAGGAATGGAGTGGTTAGGTATTCACAGAAGCATTTTGCTGAATTTCCCTACACACCAAGATATGGTCATTGTATGGTTATTGCAGTGAACAATACTAACGATTTCACTACATACTGTATTCTGGAGAGAACCATGGACTACTTCATTGATGATTCAGTCACACGGACGGAATCCTTTAGCCTATGGACTCTAACTTCTACCAATTCGCCATATATAGCACCATTGTCCACCAATATCATTAGCGGGTCTTTGTCTCAACATCCGAATTGATGGACCCCATTGGATGTGAGACAAGGCCATTATAAATGGAATATATGAAAAGGCCGGCTAGCTATCTTTGGTCATGCGTGTCTACGTTCTATCTCCCGTGTTACGCGATATAATGGGGTGAGTAATATTAAAGTTAGGCGTCGAGTGTTGAGTAAGGAGGGGAAGTTAATCAAAGAGGTAGTGACGCTACATCGACTGAGATGACTAGGATATGTGTTGCGCACGATGAGCAGTCGCCTTCCTCGACGAGCAATATTAGGTGATATAAGTTTAGGCTGGAGATGAGTTAAGGGTATTCACACCAAAATCAGTCCATTTGAGCCACTTACGCAAGTGTAAATTGAATGACTGGTTGGATTCCTCAGGGTGCTAAGAAGCAATGGCTGGAGAAAGATGGTGATATGCTTCAAAATCGTTCTCAATGGCTGGTGCGGATGTATTCACCCTTTTGTAATCTCCCATATCCATTAAGCCTTACTGTTTTTCTGTGTTAATATTTTCTCTCCCTCACATTTCTGCTTATTATCGATTTTTCGAATATCTTTTTTCTTCTTTTCTGTGCTAAATGGAGTGTGGGAAATCGAACTTCTGAGCTTCTCTGAAAAGTTCTGTGTTGAAACCAACGGGTCACGACTTCTCTCTAAGATCCCAACCAACTTTGTGTTATAGTCAATCACTCGTGAGCATTAGATTCATTTTCAAGTATTGGTTAGAATTCATAGGCCAACGAATTCCGTCCCAATGGCTCATTCCTCACAACCTAAAGGTTTTAAGTTCGTTTCGCAATAGGGTTATGGGTATATACTGTTGAAAAGTCTCAAACCAGGACAAAACAGCTGTAATATATACCCACCCTATGGCTTTTAACGGTTCTCTGACTTGGAGCCAATCAAATCCCTGAAGATGAAGATGATTTCCAAAAATCAGGAAAGAATGCTTCTCTAAAATTCATAGTAGTAATCATTCAACTGTGATCTATGGCTTCTAGTGACAAAGTGCACTTCTCATCATCCATCATCCACATTCCTTAACTAGAAATTGTCACACTTTCAAGATGATTATTGTATTACCTACTTCTTCTATTTGTTTTTTTGTAAATCTTAACTTATACCTAATTCTTTTAAACAAGGTAGAACATATCAATCAAATTATACACTTTTGTGATCAATTATCAAAAGAAAAGTGAATATTGAACAAATTGAAATTTTAAACAAAACTACTATCTTATCATATTTTATTTTAACGTCAAGTAAGTGAATTCAATCTACAAAAATACTTTAGATTATGACAAACCTGATGTGAATAAGTAAGTAACATGCTTGCTGGACAACTTAGAAATATTGTATGTTAATGAAATTATTCATTATTCAATGAATGACATCGTGATCTGATCTGATCTTAACATTGATGATAAGGATGATTATTTGTTTTCATTCTTTGAAATGAAAAAATGAATTGTGTTCAATTTGTGGGACACTTACATAATACACTATTTTAAAATATTTAAGTCAAATAACGAACGGATGAGATCGGAATGCACATGTATATAAATACACATACATATATTGAAAGTCACTTTCTATTACTACTTTTATCCATAATAAGTAGTGTAATGATAAATTACTAAAACAGAAGTGATCTACCTGTTGCAATTTTCGAATAGAAGAAAGTTGTTGAGAAACGCAAGAGCGTAAACTAGTTCGTTCTTGATGAAGAGCTTCTATTTGCCTTAGAAGACTTTCATTTGAATATAAAGAGTTATTCGTTGTAGTCTAAAATAATAAAATATATATAATAATCAATTAGAAGCAATAAATGTGCAAAAATTGGACACTGCAGTAGTAGATAACTCCATAGTAATTTAGTTTATTAGATATATCACACACACAGTGTTGAAACAGTATTATTTAATGGATGAAAATGTTTCGAACACAATTTATTACTGTTTACAATCACACAACTTAGAAACTTCATTTTTACAGTTTCCTTTATTCTTTCTTATTCGTCGTCGTAGGGGTAGTAGAGTTTTCCAGATTTCCGGGTGGACACGTGTTCTCAGCTCATTCGATAAACAAAGCTTCCGTTGTCATCAATCTCTCCCTGCACCCTGTTGTTACATTTTTTTTAATTGGCTCTACAGGATTGATCCTATAACCAACAAAGCTTATTTCTAATTGAGTTTGTAGGTTTGAATGCCAGTCACTTTTATTACTTTCAGCATTGTTAAGAATTCTCAGCCATAAGGTTTCCGAGGTTCCTTCTTTGTGTGGAAGTACTAGTGATGGCGATTTATATTCGCTATTGTTGGTGTTGTCATTACCCTGTACACGTTTGGCATGCACATCACCATTAATATTATTGTTATTAACACTATTATTATTATTATTATTATTATTATTATTATTATTACTAGAATCAAAAAAAAATTATAAGACAAACAAATAATCAAGTCTGAAACAATTAGTTCCCTTTATGAATTTCGACAAAACAATAAGAAGAAGGTAACTCATTTAAATAGTGTGATGTATTCTCACACCACAACTCAAAAAAAATTTGACCACACATATACTTGCTTTAAGAATATATATATGAAAATAATAATCAGAGATAAGGCGTGAGAGAATAGACATAAGTGAGGTGCCTGTCAAACAGGATTCGACGAGAAAGGCACATAGTACACGCCTGAAGCTGAAGAAAGAAAAACGATAGGAGATCTGGTTGATAAAAATTATCCAGAGGAGCTCATTAGGAGATACAAAGTCATCAGAATACCAAGATCTAGTGTCCAACTCGCCACTTGAAAGGATCTATATTATCAAGCTATCCTACATAGATGATCATACCAGCTAAATAAGATTGACCGATGGAGTTAAAAAGACTATTTGTGCCCGACCGAAAGCTGCTACCTTGACGTGGTGGTCGGGCTTGCATATCGTAATGACCCAACGAGCTACACTGGCTGGAACTTAAGTTCCTGTAGGTCCTACCATGCCAGAAAGGTTGTTTGGATAGCGGTTAGACAAAAAGTAGCTACCCTATCCAATGCCATGACTCAAACAAAATCACAAAATATCATGCCGGATCGGTCGGGGCCCGGATTAACAACGACCGCGCTTCCTGCTGCTGTGTCACAGGGCAGAAGTGATAAATATGCTACTGAGACACACCAAATAAAAAAGAACAAACAAAAACAGGCCGTGTGTGACTGGCCTCAAGCAGTTGTCCCCTGGGCTCTGCGGTCACGCAACCAACTTCCACGGTGTGGGCAGCCGGAAAGTAACAACCGCCCTCACAATCCGAAGTGCACGCGAAACCCCCCTAATCCTCACTCATCTTTGTATCCATCTTCATCTCTATTATCTTGCCTTCCTTCTACCAATGCAACTCCTCTACTTGATGGCTCTTCACTTCCTCTTCACTCTGCGTGCACTGATAACGATGGAAGCCAAAAAGCCACCATCGATAGTCTCCTAAAACCACGCCACCAATTTCATATAGGAGCATTTAATGTTAGGACACTTTGCCAAATAGGACAACAGGCATCACTAGCCAAGACTCTGGCATCCCGAGCCATTGATGTATGTTGTGTTTCAGAAACACGCATACAAGACCCAAGTGTGGTTATTCACCTAACCCCACCTGGCCAACAGGATGAATATGCAAAATTCACCTTGAGGGTGTCAGGAGATACCACAGCTAGCTCACGAGGATTAGCTGGTGTTGGGCTGGCTTTAAGTACTAGGGCAGAAAGGACATTACTTGACTGGATCCCGGTAGATAGCCGAATGTGTGCTGTCCATCTGAACGGATCAGTGAAAAGGAAAAGGACTGCACTACTCGCCGATGTCTTTTCGTAATCTCCGCCTACGCCCCCACTGACTGCAGTTCGGCTGAAACGAAGGATGAGTTCTACCAAAAGCTGTCTAGTTTGCTGCGAAAGGCTAAAAGCCCAGATATAGTCGTTTTAGCTGGTGACTTTAATGCTCAAGTAGGGAAATTGTGTCAATCTGAGAAGAATGTCGGTGGCACATACGGAATTCCGTGCCAGCGAACCGACAACGGTGACCGTCTCCCACAATTCTGTTCAGATAATCATTTGTTTCTTGTAAGCACTAACTTCAAACACAAGGAGAGACACTGTGCTCTGAGCACGCTTTGACTGATTTGATTGATTATGGCGGTCACCAAGTGGACAAAGGAAGTGCCTTCAGAGTTATCTATCGCATTCCATAGAACCTTTCGAACGGCATTAGAACCCGAAGCTATAGGAATCAATCTATTATCATTATAATCATCGTTATTAATGATGTTCAAAACATTTACCACATTATTATTATTATCTGATCCACAAAATCACCGTCATTGGTTTAAATTTTAATATATAAATCTATATAAATTAAATTAGAGTGAAGCCTGAAGAAGATCTGATTGAAAACAACAGCAATATTGTTCGCTTATATGTCTTGTTCTAATATTATTATTAATGGGAATATTTAAAGATTTGACATAACAATTATATACAATTGTAGAGCATTGAAATGTCGCATTTTTGAATATTAAAAGAAAATTACCATCAAAATACAAAGAAATATATCAGAATGAATATGATGAATAGGTGTCGGTGGCCCAGCGGTAGAATGCTCGCCAAACACTCAGGTATTTCGGCGTTCAATCTCCCGCTACGGACGCACTCCTTTACCTCGCTAAATCGGTAATAACACTGATAAAGAAGGTAGGTTGGGCATGAGGCTAGCAACCCTATCCCGTAAAAAGTAAACACCACTGCTACCGAGACTTCAAGCCTCTAGCTTGAAGCCGCCTATGTTCCACTGGGAACGTGAAGGAATTTAAAAACAAAAAATATGACATAAGAAAGATGAATGGACAATATTCCATCACACAAAAAGTTGAAAGTGAATAATATAAATTAATGCTTTCCCGACAAAATGTAAAGTTGACATACCGATTCATTATCACCGTTTCTTTTATTCATTGCTGCTTTTAATGATTCTCCTCCTCCTCCTCTTCCTCCTTCTGGTATCAAATCTTCAGTAGTTTGTACGCCTACATTTACGGTTTGATTCTTCGCATGTTGTTTGAATGATTGAATCTTTAAAGTGTTAAGATGAATAATAAATGTCGAAACAAAGTTATGCGGTAAGATTATTTGTAAAATTGTGAAGGTTCGTATCTCTCCCTCTCTCTCTCTCTCTATTGAGACAAGAATATTCTTTTCAATAATTTCTCCTCTTCAGGTTCTTACAATTATAAAATATAATATTTGTTGTCGTTACAATAAAGGCCAGTTATGCGGCAGGTACATTTTTAACGTAGAATAACAGATTAGTACTCATGGGGTGTCAAAATAAATAGTCGTATTTGTGTGACAAACGTGCTAGGCTGAATTCGATTACAAAATATTGTAAAACGGGAGACAATGGTGGTGATTAATCATAATAGATTTGTAGAGTGTGGGGTAGGAAAACTGACAAGTCAGTTCAAGGTTATAAAAGGTGTCAGGTGAGTGGCTAGTACAAAGTGGTCTGTGTTAAACAGGAGATAGTAAGACTGCAATGGGAGGTTCATAATGAGATAACGAATATGTGAAATGAAACAGGTGGAGGCATATATTGAGAAGAGAGGTAATATCACTAATAAGTCCGGATAGTATAAACGAAAAAATTCGATAGTATTGAGAGAATGTTTGCATGAAGGGCATAAATTATGACGAATAATACCAATAATAATAATAATAATATTTGTGATAATAAGCAAAGGAGAAAAACAAAAAACCAAGAGGGTTAAGGGAAAGGAGCACTCCTGGTGAGAAGAAGAATCATCAAGCCAAGTTTGGCCACGGTAGGAACAGCGTCTGGACGTGTTCTTTTTGGATACAAAGTTCCGGTTTAGTCGATCTTACTGCAACAGCTTCAGCTATGTGTAGAAGACGTAAGCGAACTGTACGTGATAACAACTTCGGAATTCGGTGTATAACCCTGAAAGCTGTGTTGACATCGATATGGTGTCCAGTATCGACCAAGTGTGACAGAATAGAACTTTTTATGCACTTAATTTCCCCCTTGCTGAACCAAGCTGGTAAATGTTCTCGAACCCGTAGACGAACCTGCCTAATCGTGTGCCCTATATAACTTGAACCACAAGAACAGTTGAAATGGTATATACATGAAGAAGAGCTAAGCTTAGGTAAGACATCTTTGAGTTGCTGGGTGAACATTGGACGGCTACTGAAGGATAGACACAGAAGTGCAGAGTAGAAAGTTTTCTTGATCGCCCTGGTTAAACGTTGCGATAGAATCTCCGCAGGAGTATCTCCCTTGAATTGGAGACGTAATAAACAGAGGCTTTTTCTCCACCGTTGCCAATTCATGTTTACGACTATTGTAACCTATGTTGGCTTTAATGAACTTCTCTGGATATCCGTTCTCACTTAGAATGTCTAGAATGACCTGGAATTCTTTCTCTACACAGTCTTCGGAACAAAAAGACCTCGCTCTAAATGCTAAGCATCTGATCAGATTACGTTTGTATTTCATCGGTACAAAGCTAAGGAAGTGTGTATACTGAGCTTTGGAATCTGGCTTTCTAAATATGGTTCTTTTGACGGAACCATCCTCTCTTCTCGTTAGTAGGACGTCGAGGAAGTGTAGAGAGTCGTTGCATTTTCCTTCGTAGGTGAAATGGACCGCTGGGTGAGCATTATTGAAGTTGCTCAGAATCAAATCACTACTTAACCCTTCATCGTACACTACAAAAGTGTCATCCATGTAACGACAATACGTTTCCATATTTGCTATTTCCTCTTTCAAAGGACTATTTTCCAGATTTGCTAGAAATATATTCGCGAAAATAGGTCCCAGTGGGGTTCGATCCCCAGCCGACGGACAACTGATATCAATGGTCAGCCAGCAAAATTTGGTCTACCAATATCACATGCTGAGAACTCCATACTTGTACCAAAATAACCGTTTGGAATCAAGTATTATCCAATAGACCACTTGGATCACGATAACCTAAGCTCATGTGCAACAGGGTATCAATGAATATGCGTTTTTGAAATTTTCGATATTATTTCGACAAAAGATGTTCAGTTTCATATAAAATTAGTTGAGATAGATAGACAGATAGATAGATAAATAAATAAATACAACCTACTTCTTGTACAATTTTTCTAAGCCGAGATATTTCTGACATTGATTTTGATAGTTTAGATGATAATTCCTATAGTTGTTAAAGAAGAAAGAAATCAGTGAGTATTTTTTTAAAAAGACAATTAAGTTTATATAAACATTACTTTAAAACTATAATGAATAATGAATAGAAAGTTAGTCTACTGCAAAAGTGCTATCCTGTGTGAATACAAACCATTTAAAGTAAGTAAGCCGGACTACTAACTTCAAAAAAGTGTACTCTAAGTTATTCACATACACGTGAAAAGTCAACAAAATTCACCTGGTCGACTGAGCATAGACACAACGATTTTATCAGAGTGACTTAACAAATTTAAACGTTAGCCTAACGATCGAAATTTATGTAAGCCTATCATGTATGACATAAGTCGCCAGATGTTAGGCATAGCTTATTCTCAAGTGTATGACGATGAACGCGTGAATGGTGAAAGTCCCTTAGCTCTAACAGTTACTCATCACACACACACACACAGTTCTACATCCTGTAGTTTTATTATGACATTATATCATTATACTTTTGAGTTCCGATTGGAACATCTCTATTTCATGCTGTTCTCTGCAATATTTTTCAGTCTTCTCAGCCACCTCACATGATCTTCATTGTCACCATCGGAAGCCCAATTCATCGTTCCCCTCTTTCAGGTTACATTCGAGGAAGCACCTGGTGCATTGGTGTCACTCAACGATATCTTTAGCATATGCCCGTTCCACCTCCATTTTCTTTTACCAACCTGTTGGATGATAGGTTCTTGTCTAGATAGTCACATCAGAGTACTTCCTTGCTTCAATATCGAACCAGCGAAGGCAATTGTTGATAAAAGTCTACTGCAGCAGCCTGTTGGAAATGCTTTTAATGACGCATGTGTCAAGTCTCTGAAACATATAGAAGCAGTGACTGACTTCATATTAGTGTTGAATGTCCGGATCTTGTTCCTTGTGCCGACTGCAGCAGATTTTCTCACTGATTTCAGATCAGAGTCTGTCTTTAATTGGTGGATGGTGACTAGCAGTGGAATCCAGGATAACGCACATTTCGCCCTATTTGGGACTCGTCATCTGGATGCACCTGCATTCCCCAGTGAGTGATGATGTTCCCACCGAGGCTCGAAACCAGTGCCTATAGTTTCAAACGCCAAAGCGTTATCCCAGAGTCTGTCTTGCTTAATAATGAAATTCAACGTTCTGAAAATAAACGTCAACAGACACTTTCGACTTTTGTATCCCTTGGAAATATGTTTGAAAAAAACAAAACAACTTTCGTAGGCAACACGAGAACGCTAAGCAAATATGAACATCTACAATTTTTGCGACGTCGTTTATATACTTTTCAGTATTGAAAAGTGAATAATATTCTCTCAAAACGAACGAGAAAGTATGCCAACTGAGATGATTTTATCATAAATATATTTCATTATTAATTATCACAAAGATATTAAACAGCAGTGTTGAGTCATAATCCAATGACAATAATTACATAAGTAATAAAACATTGATTTCTCTTTTAGTCGTCTCTGTCTATGAGACATTCTCCTCGCAAAAACACGTGGCCTAGTGATTATAAACATAAAAACAAACAACAGTCAAGTCAACTGACATTCCAATGGTAGAACTAAGTGACAAAGCCTGCTCAACAACAATACACCATCTAACACAGCTAGACAATCGATGAATTCATGTCCAAAGAAAACAGACGTATTTAAAATACCAACAAGAAGTACTAATCACCAATCAATATGAGGAATTCAATGGAAGTCAACTCTTTCATTTATCTGACCAACGCAACAGGCAACACAGATGAGAGGATATCAAAGACAGGATCAGAAAGCCAAGACAAACCTTCATTAATCTGAGATCAGTGTGAAAATCTACTGAGCACTACTCAGTATAAATAACAAGATTCAAATCTCCAACATTAATGTCAATTTCCTCCTATTGTATGGTTCAGAGAAAGCGCGCACATGTCACGAAAAGCATTTCCAAGTGAAGAGCAGATGGCATGAAAGGTTTAGCAATAAGGAACTCTGCAGTGCAACGAATCAACCAAGATGGATTAGGAGCATACGCTGAGGAGACCATTGAGTGACACTACGCAACATCCGGCCCCTCCAGTAATACCTCAATAGGAAACGACGAATTGGGCGTGAGTCGGAAGGTAACACATATGAGATTGTGTGAGGACGAAATCAAAGCTTCTCGGCGCAGGCTGAAAAAGACTGCAAAGAACACGATGAAATGGGGATATGCAGTTGAAGCCTCATGTCACGACGGAATTTCACCTGAAACACAATATTCTTTACCAGACAATATTTACAAGTAAAAAGTACTTCATTACTTCGATTGTAAAACCATGTATTTCAATACAGAGAACATAGTTTAATCAACTAGAGATTTTCTGTAAATTTGAGACTATTTGAATTCAAGTTCAGGCTTAGGAATTAGTGGATAATAGTAATGATGATAAATACACAACAAATAACGCACAGTCAGATAAAAGCCTAGGGAGAGTTTTCATCTGAAGTCACGATGAAAACCAGTGGTGTCCTTCAGGGATGCCCACTAATCCCGTTTCGATTCAATTTCATCATAGATACACTAATGGACTTAACCCTAAGTCACTTCAGCAACTCAGGGATTGACTTGCTACCAGGGAATAATCTCGTTGACTTAGAGTATGCAGATGATATAGTCCTCCTTCCTAGGTGAAGACTCTGACAAAATGTAGGGTCTTCTGAACACATGGATCAGAAAGGAATCTCCGAATGTTTGACATGCGATTCGCACTCACCACGTGTAAGATGACGTTACAAGACTGGACTGAATTACATCGACTCCTAGCTTAGAGATAGGTAGTGAAGTGGTGGCTGGGTGTGTTGACCACTGCACTTGTTTGAGAAGTTGCATTAGCCCCAGTGGGCTGATCGCTGACGAAATCTCAGCACGGATACAGAACGCTCGTCTAGCATTTGCTAACTTATGCTGTCTCTGACATAAATGTGATATCCAAAGGATGTGTGTACTGCTCACCTCCATCCTCTTTTATGGCTGTAGTGAGATATGGCCACTGAAATTGAAAGACGTGAAAAGGCAGGCAAGATGTTTTTGATCATAGGTGTCTGCATTCTGTCTCCCATGTTAGATTGTATAATAGAGTGAATAATATTGAGGTCAGGCGTCGACTGTTAGGTAAGGAGGGAAAATCAATCGATAATGTTGTGAGGCTACATCGATTGAGATGGCTAGGACATGTCTTTTCGTATGCTTAGCTATCGCCTCCCTCGAAGAGCAATGTTAACTGACACAGGATGATAATAAACTCGTGGAGAAATCTAAAAGCTCACTTCACCGAATTGAAGTATGCGCTGAAGATATCGCCTAGTAGGGGTCGGTGAAAGCTTCGCAAATTAACTATCCAGCTCAGAGAACACAACCACATGAAAAACTCTAAGATTCTTCCATATTACTTCTCCTTTCGCTTCATCCTTCTGTTGATTATCTCTCTTTTGAACCTCTCTCTTTACTCTACTCTCTTGCTTTGTGTGCTACATGGCGGGAAAGTGGCAACTTGAACTGCCGCAAATCTACACAAAGCTTTATGTTGAAACCAGTCAGTCAACATAGTTCTTTACACAATTTCAGTTAGCATCCATGGGTGTACATTGACACTGTATGTGAGTAAAATGTAGTAATGAGCAGACTGAACTCTTGAAAAATAAGAAAAGAAACACACACATACACACACAGTGAAACTAAGTGAAAAGTATGCAGTTAAAAGAGAAATAGAATTAAGAAAACAAAGTGAATTAAAATAATATAAATGCACAACTAAACGCTGCTTCTCTTGTTCATATAAACCTAAAGGACTGGTGTGTCACTCTGCTTAAAAATGATAAAAGCTCATATTTTGCAATCTGGCATTGCGTCTACTAAATCAGCCAATATATTGAGACTTAGATGAAGTTAACTATGGCATTCAGTAATATTTATTGATGACTACCCCCACCTCTAAAAAGCACAAAAAGAGCTCCTGTTCATTATTCGACTACCCACAATCTACTGGTTTGACCTATGTGGTTGACTTAACTCACAGTCATTGCAAGGTATTTTGTAAATTATATTATTTTGTATAATTGGGTCAGTGGGATCCTTTAACCTATAGAGCTTGTCCCTGCCTGAGTAAGTTTGTAGGTTTAAATGCCACCCAAATTCATGCTTTATTAAGGATATTAAATAGCGTCGCAGATGTCCCCTTTATATATATGGTAAAACTGTAGATGTCATTTTTATAGCTTTAACAAATATTTTTATTTTGCTTTTGACCTTTTCTGGTCTTCCTAGTGAATTTTATAGGATACTTATTTAACACTAACGCATCTGGATATGATAGAGAAGATTTGTAGCTCAGGTGGATGATTTGGATGTGGGTGTGTTCTCTGAGCTGGATAGTTAATTTGCGAAGCTTTCATCACCCTACTGGGTGACATCTTCAGCGCATACTTCAATTTGAAGTGAGCTTTTAGATTCCTCCACGAGTTTATAATTCATCTCTCCTGGCGACCTTGGACAGTTGACTGGTGGTTTGCATCTTACACTGGTCGCTAGGATTTGATGGCGAAGGCATTCGTGGAGAAAGACTAACGCATCTTCTTCTATGTGTTTCATGTCGTCATTTAAATTTTTTGATGTACTATTTAGTGCTATTGCTCGGTTTGTTAGACACTTAACTAAGCCTGCCTTCACAGATAACGATGGATGAAATGAATTAAAGAAGGCTAAATATCTACTAATGCGTCGGTGGCATAGTGGTTAGGACGCTCGCCGACCATGCACATGGTCCGGGGTTCGATCCCCGGTCGACGCACTCCTTTACCTCGCTAACCCAGAAATAACGCTGGTGAAGAGGAAAGGTTGGGCATGAGGCTAGCAACCCCATCCTGTGAAATAAGCACTGCTACAGAAACTTCAAGCCACTAGCTTGAAACCCTATGTTCCACTGGAGAACGTGAAGGAAATTTAAAAAAACATCTATTAGCAGAATGCATTGGCTTTTTATAAAAGCTAGTGGGCAGTTTACCTACTTCTGTTCGTTTTATTTTACAATCTAACATAAAATCAGTAAATATTACCGTATAACACTGTGAGACTTAATCAAAATAAAATTTTATCCACAATAGAACTTTGCTTTCCACCTAAAGGTCAGGAGGACAACAAAACAGACTTCTTTCCATACTTCTGCCAATGCAGTTGTCATCACATCAAAGGATATTTTGTACATAGTATGTGTCTCTAACACAGTTTCCGAAGTTATTCATCGGGTTTACATTTATCCATTGTCTACATCCTCTGTTCATTAATGAGAAATCTAACCTAAGTTTGAATGAATGAAAACCCTGCGTTTGTATCTTGATTCCTCTAGTTTATGGTAGAAGACATGTTGAAACCCTTTGTGGTAATTACGCAGAAGCTATTCATCTTTTAAAAGACGCCGTGATACACTTGGGAGACACTCCCTTTGCGCTTGCCCACATCTGTCCTGTCTTATCCCTGTCTGTTAATGTCAAGATTCTTCCATACTGGATTTATTCCGAGATAAAATCGTCGAAAAATACAAAGGATGTGCTAGAAAGTGTTTTCGGGACTTGAACAAATTAAACAGAAGCCAACTTCAAGAAGTTCGTACACATGCACGATTCATTCCTCTCCCCTTGCATTACATTCACAGGAAATTTCACCTAATATACTGAAACCTACTCGTGATATTTTTATAAAGAATTCAACAAAGATTTGCATACAGCCTTATTTAGTTTGGTACTTATATCTGTGAACTTTATTATAAATTCTAATTTCTCGATTCCTGGTCGACCTAGGTACTGCTTTTCCCTGCTTTATTAGGTTTGTTGTTTAGTTGGCCTCAAGGCAATAGTGGTGATATACATCGTAAACTGCTAGAAGAAAGATTTCGATTTCTGATATGTGACCATCTCTCAGTCCGTTCAAACCAGATGACTTCTATGAGGAAAATGCAGGCGCGACATTTCTCTACCGTACCGAATTTTAACACCAACTTGTATTTCAGTAGATCTTCGTCTTCACAATCCTGCATTACTCGGACATTGTTTACAAATGGTTGGAGAATTGAGAAACTCTGTAAGTGATTGGTTTCAAAATTTCAGAGAATTTTCTGTTTCACAGTTTCGAGATGGAAGGAAATCGGTATCAGAAATTAAATGCTTGGTTTTACAATATGGTATACAGTAGTATGCAGCTCGGTGATTTGATGCTGCTGCTATGCATTACAGTGAAGCACTGTACCAAATCAGTATTGAGACAGCTGAAGTGTTGATTTCAAGAAGCCTAGTTTAAAATGATATTGGTAAAGACAAAGGAAATATACTCATCGGTCGGTCGGTTTTCGACATAGAACTTTGCACATATGTGCGGCAGTTCAAGTCGCCACACTCCATGTAGCACACAAAGCAAGAGAAGAAAGTAGGAGAAATGCATAGTATAGACAGTAAACAGAGGTGTGAGACAAAGGAATAGTAATAACGAAGAACAAAACAGTTTCATTGGAAATCATAAGTCACAAGGAGTGGATGCATCTGCGCTGTCATTGAGAACGATTTTGAGCCATGTCACCAATTGTTTCCAACCATTGGTTTTTACCGTCCCGAGGACCCCAGCCAGGAAGTCTACACCTTTCTACGTGGCTTAGACTAACTGTTGTGGATTTTATTGACTGGTGCCATGTTTTCGTTTGACCGCCGCCAGCTCTTTTCCAGCCTGGCCCTATATCAGCTAACATTGCCCGTCGAGGAAGGCGATGACTAGGCATACGTAGCACATGTCCTAACCATCTCAGTCAATGTAATTTCACAGTCTCGTCGATTGATTTCCCCTCCTTACCTAGCACTCGACGCCTAACCTCAGTATTGCTCACCTTATTATACCACTTCATGCGGGAGATAGAACGCAGACACCTATGATCGAAGACAGCTAATCTTTTCATGTCTTCTGCTCTCAATGGCCAGGTCTCACAGCCATAAAGGAGGACGGAGCGGACTGTTGAGCAGTACACACGCCCTTTGGTCGATAGTCGGATATCGCGTCTACGCCAGAGACGGCGTAAACTGGCATATGCGAAACTAGCCCTCTGTATTCGTGCTGAGATTTCGTCGGAGATCAACCCGTTGGGGCTGATGGTACTTCCCAAGTAAGTGAAGCGGTCAACGTGCTCTACCACTTCACTTCCTATTTCTAATCTAGGGGTCGGTGAAGTCCAATCCTGCAGCATCATCTTACATTTTACAGGGGCGAATCGCATGCCAAACATACGAAGATTGCAGCTCAAGGTGTTCAGAAGACTCTGCATTTTGTCAGCGTCCTAGCCTAGAAGGACTATATCATCCGCATATTCTAAGTCGACGAGATTATTCCCTGGTAGCAAGTCAATCCCTGAGTCGATGAAGTGTGTTAGGGTTAAGTCCATTAGTACGCCTATGATGAAGTTGAATAGGAATGAGGATAATGGGCGTCCTTGACGGACGCCACTAGTCACCACTTCAGATGACAACTCATACTCATACACAATTGGCTATCATATCGTCAATCGTTCGATCAAAGTTCAAGATTTAACAACCTTAATTTATTTAATACTACTAAACAGCAAACAAGGAAGTGATATAGCATGCAAGACAGAAATCCCTTCAGACTCATAAATTCCATATACATGAGTATATTCTATCTAAATGTGTTCTAGGTGGATTGGAGCAACATGCTTTTCTAATTGACCGTGACTTAACATTCCTCAAACTATCGTGAATATGTTTATTGCATGGATAGAATATCACAAAGTGCCAGTTTTTCGATACCGTCATGATTTCATGGATCTTTTTGGTACTTTTGAAAAAAAAAACTGAAACTGCCAACTATAAAAACGATCATTTAGGAATACTAACTTTAGCCTGAATTTGAGATACTCATCAGTGCAAGGGGAACTATGTACATCACAATAAAAAAGCTGTTTAACAAAATTTAAAATCAACAACATACACTTGAACTCACCTTCTCGACTATCATTAATTGTCCTTCAAAATTTTCAACTCTTTCACATGCTTCATGAATAGATGCCTCCAATGATTTCGTTTGTCCAGTAGAGTAGGCTTTAGATTCTACTAAACGACGAATTGTTGCAGATGCTGTTTGACATGTATTCTCTAGACGACTGAGAGTAGAAAAAGGCATGCTGATACCATACTTGGCACATATTTTATGTTATGAAAATAGTGTCAGGCAAGAATTAACTAGCCTTTTTTCATCTAGTAAGTAAACAATTTCCTCCATCCATCCTTATATACCTTCAAGTTTTACTTTTATTATTTCTATTATATTTATGGTTCTGTTGCTTCTTTGTTTTACTCTCATAATTGCAAACACCAACTTATCTCTATGACTGCAGTAATCTTTGTTTTTCCCCTCACCATATCATGTTAAGAGAACATTATATTCAATATTTTTAAACATGCTAGGATTTTTATACCGCATCGACAATGCTGTGTGGAACAAGCCCACGGCAATTTTCACTTGTAATTATCTGCAAAAAAAGTCTGTTCACTGAGAGACAGACTCATACTGTTGCTAGCCATGCAGCATTTAAAGTCACTATGTACAAATAAGGTCATCGCACAATCACAAAAATGCATCTAATTCGATATAAAAGTAGTGAAGCATTCACAAAACTATAACCTAACATAATATAATATAAGAAGGAAAACACTGTATCTACAGACATATCACAGTTGGGAATTAGGCAAAGATCAAGTAGAACAAAGGGACAGGCAGGCAGGGAGGGCAGGAGTGGGGGAGGATTATTGACTGACTAGTTCCAACCTAGAACTTTGCACAGATGTGCAGCAGTTCCAGTTTCCACACTCCATGTCCATGTAGCACACACAAGAAGAGAGAAAAGGAGAGGTAACAAACAGAAATGTGGGGCAAAAAGAACAGTAGTAAAGTGGAAGAACAATAGAAGTTGACTGGATATTATATATATCACAAAGAGTGAATGTGGGCAAGGATTATGTACACTGGAACAAGAAGAGAAGTGAAACGAAGTGGGGATCAGAGATAAAACCAAATCACTAGCAGCGCCAACAACAACAACAAAAACAGTGATGATGAAATTACAAAAATCAACTAGAAAACAGTCATCATCTGACATTACTATCGTTATCATTGTTATTATTCCGATTCTTCCTATTCGATGGACAGGGTGCTGCCGTTAACATTGGTCGATTATTCGTCAACGTTGTCAATTGCAATTGTTGATTAGCTGAGGCAGTTGGAATGTTTTGTAAATCTGTCACTAGCTTGACATCTTTAGCCATCACTGTAACACGTTTAGCGTGAATTGCACATTGTTGAGCCGACTCAAATAAGCTCACGAGGAATGCTTCAGCGGCTTCTTGTAAGGCCAGAAAGCATATCGCTTGCCAACGAAACGTTAAGTATCTCGGACCAAGTGACGTCGCCATAATATAACGGATATATCGAGAGAATGGCAGCTTCCTTCCTTATAAGGAGGTTTGTACTCCGCTGGTACGTCGCTATCTCTCGCAAAGCCCTAGTGCAGCACGTTTCTTTGGTCGTTCCGTTTTATTATTCTCATTATCATTATTAGTATTATATTTTCGTGAAGCATCCACTCCTCGACTGGCTCGTTTCTGTTACCTTCGCACTAACTGTTCTTGTAGTTGTCGTCGTGAATTACGTGTTTTCGATGGTGGTCCTGGTGGTGGTAATGCATGTGCTGACGCTGACGGCTTACCTCCATCACCTCGTCTACGTGGAATAGGACGATCACTGAGTTGTGGAGTATCCCCCCCTTGTGGTTAACATACATCCAATCCGTGCCTTGACGCGCTGTTGCTATTTTCTTCGGCTGAGACAGTTTCTTAAGCACAGAAGGACGGGATGAACTGACATTGGACTCGAGATCAACAGACAACGATCGATTTGATAGGTTCAACTGTTCTGGCACCGTCGCTGTTTTCTTTTTCTTGATACCACCACCTTCAGCCAGTGGGATGTGTGATGTTTCCAAGTTTAGCTCATTGAAAGCCCGTTTGGTAGAGCCTTTGTCGTACTTGAATAGGCCGGGCTATCAATGAGCTAAACTTGGAAACATCACACATCCCACTGGCTGAAGGTGGTGGTATCAAGAAAAAGAAAACAGCGACGGTGCCAGAACAGTTGAACCTATCAAATCGATCGTTGCCTGTTGATCTCCAGTCCAATGTCAGTTCATCCCGTCCTTCTGTGCTTAAGAAACTGTCTCAGCCGAAGAAAATAGCAACAGCGCGTCAAGGCACGGATTGGATGTATGTTAACCACAAGGGGGGGATACTCCACAACTCAGTGATCGTCCTATTCCACGTAGACGAGGTGATGGAGGTAAGCCGTCAGCGTCAGCACATGCATTACCACCACCAGGACCACCATCGAAAACACGTAATTCACGACGACAACTACAAGAACAGTTAGTGCGAAGGTAACAGAAACGAGCCAGTCGAGGGGTGGATGCTTCACGAAAATATAATACTAATAATGATAATGAGAATAATAAAACGGAACGACCAAAGAAACGTGCTGCACTAGGGCTTTGCGAGAGATAGCCACGTACCAGCGGAGTACAAACCTCCTTATAAGGAAGGAAGCTGCCATTCTCTCGATATATCCGTTATATTATGGCGACGTCACTTGGTCCGAGATACTTAACGTTTCGTTGGCAAGCCATATGCTTTCTGGCCTTACAAGAAGCCGCTGAAGCATTCCTCGTGAGCTTATTTGAGTCGGCTCAACAATGTGCAATTCACGCTAAACGTGTTACAGTGATGGCTAAAGATGTCAAGCTAGTGACAGATTTACAAAACATTCCAACTGCCTCAGGTTATCAACAATTGCAATTGACAACGTTGACGAATAATCGACCAATGTTAACGGCAGCACCCTGTCCATCGAATAGGAAGAATCGGAATAATAACAATGATAACGATAGTAATGTCAGGTGATGACTGTTTTCTAGTTGATTTTTGTAATTTCATCATCACTGTTTTTGTTGTTGTTGTTGGCGCTGCTAGTGATTTGGTTTTATCTCTGATCCCCACTTCGTTTCACTTCTCTTCTTGTTCCAGTGTACATAATCCTTGCCCACATTCACTCTTTGTGATATATATAATCTCCAGTCAACTTCTATTGTTCTTCCACATTACTACTGTTCTTTTTGCCCCACATTTCTGTTTGTTACCTCTCCTTTTCTCTCTTCTTGTGTGTGCTACATGGACATGGAGTGTGGAAACTGGAACTGCTGCACATCTGTGCAAAGTTCTAGGTTGGAACTAGTCAGTCAATAATCCTCCCCCACTCCTGCCCTCCCTGCCTGCCTGTCCCTTTGTTCTACTTGATCTTTGCCTAATTCCCAACTGTGATATGTCTGTAGATACAGTGTTTTCCTTCTTATATTATATTATGTTAGGTTATAGTTTTGTGAATGCTTCACTACTTTTATATCGAATTAGATGCATTTTTGTGATTGTCCGATGACCTTATTTGTACATAGTGACTTTAAATGCTGCATGGCTAGCAACAGTATGAGTCTGTCTCTCAGTGAACAGACTCTTTTGTAGATAACTACAAGTGAAAATTGCCGTGGGCTTGTTCCACACAGCATTGTCGATGCGGTATAAAAATCCTAGCATGTTTAAAAATATTGAATATAATGTTCTCTTAACATGATATGGTGAGGGGAAAAACAAAGATTACTGCAGTCATAGAGATAAGTTGGTGTTTGCAATTATGAGAGTAAAACAAAGAAGCAACAGAACCATAAATATAATAGAAATAATAAAAGTAAAACTTGAAGGTATATAAGGATGGATGGAGGAAATTGTTTACTTACTAGATGAAAAAAGGCTAGTTAATTCTTGCCTGACACCAGTTTCATCACATTAAATATGTCCCAAGTACGGTATCATAGAATTGTTATCCTTAGACGTGCGAGCACACAGTTTCCTGAAGTTGGTGCTTGCTCTACCTGAGAAGATGCTAAGTGAAAGGTGATGCTCCAAGTTAGACAAAATCCCTTCAGCAAATTTATAACTCCATGTCAAGTGCCTATCGACAACGACGTTAACTATGTGGTTCACCGGGACACGACTCACCCTGTTGACAGTGTTCAGCATTCTACGAATTGTGACATAGTCCTTTTTAAGCAAACCAGGAAAGAATAAGGGTGGACAGGGAAGAAGAATAGGTAACATGCACGAGTTGACAAACTGTAAGAGGCGGAGGGGTTGAGTTATGCCTGAGTGCCTTAATACCACAGCTGAACTTTGAAACCCCAAGTTCCAATCGGAATGCAAAGAAATAAAATAAATAATTTGTTTAGAATCTAGTTTTTAAGACACAATAAAGTCTCTTGGTCAGAGCGTGCAATTGTAGTAATTCTCTCAGTAACTGTAACATATTTTGTGCATTATAAGCAATGAGTGATCATGATTTCTAACCACCTACTATACCGTCAATTAAGTTGACCTAGAAACTCGACGAATATATACATATTGTGGGCTCACACAAGCGTGTCATTCATCTTATCCACCAAATATGTCAAACACACCATGGTAAGAATATACAGTCAATACATAAAGCTAATTCACATTTGAGAATGCAATCCACAAGAATTAGACTAAGCTAGATGACAAGATTGCTAGAAAGTATATCATATGGAGACCTTCCATTGAATGAAACAGAAGTATGTCTCCACTGAGGAGAAATTCAGCTCACCCGTAACCTAGAACACAACTGTGTAACTTGACTGTTCAGATTGAAGCAGATGGGGTAAGGTATAAACCTGTAACCTAACAGCTAAAACTCATTATTATCATTCAGACAAACATTTGATACATTATGGGCAACGAGCAATGCGCTGCACAAAATCTCATAGTTTGTTCAAGGACTGGGATACTTCCTGGATACCTACACCGAAGTAGGTGATTGTCATAAGGGACCATCCCCAGAGTCTTTCACTGGAGCAGCATTCCTATAGTTTTATTTATTTTGATTATAGCTTCATACCACACCGTATTTTGGTACTAGTATGAAATTTTCGGCATATGATATCGGTAGCCGAAATTTAACAGGCCGACCATTGATATCAGGCGTGCGTCGGCCGGGTTCGAACCTCGGACCAAGTTGACGCTGACCTAAACAACTTCAAGAGCCATTCTATCGTTTCGGATTCTGGAGCCCATGAATACTGTAGGCTCGGAATCAGGGGTTTCCAGTCTGACATTCGCATTCGCCTTTTCACTTTTGTGAGAAAAAGCAGCGAATGCTAGAACCAATGAGTTGCATCTCTACTTCTAACACAAGACGGTTATGTAATATTCTCCTTGGTTGCATCAAAATAAATTAATTAGTTTATTAAGTTAATTAGGCATACCAGCTCCACAATATAGCTAAGATAATTATCATTTCCTAAGAATCTATCCTACAAAATATTGAGGGACATCTCAGTATAACGTTAAAATATGTATCAATTCCTTAATAAAAAGCACTTCGATTTTACCTGAATAAAACCTGAATGATGAAGCCTCTAAATTTTAGACCGGACACTTGGCATAAACTTGTGGGTACTTCTACAAGTATTGTTTCTCAGGAATTAGACTGATTCCCAGACTTTTCAAAAAATTAACTCCAGTTAGTGAGCCATTAAAAACCAGAGAATACTGAAGAAATGTTCCATCCTAGTCTGAAAATCCTCGGAAGTCCGCACCCAGAACCTTCAGGTTACAAAGCGAACTTGTTGACCATCCAGCCACTGGGACGGAATTCAAGTGCCCATTAATTCGCGAAATGTATAGCGCGACATCCAGCCAAAGCCACTAGTGAGTAAATCCTTGGTTCTGTCCCTGGCGGGATCGTGGGTCTGTACTGCTGAGCAGTCCCAAGCAGAGATGAAGTAGACATTCAGTAGATTAAACAACAAGTTGGATTTAAGAGTGATGATTATACTGCCTACCTAATTTCTAGCATCTTTTCTATCAGTGCATTGTTAGCTTCATTCAACTGGTTTTCTAAATATCGAACTTTTTGATTTATTTCTTCTTGATCCTCCGAAGGCTGTTCTGAATGTCGCGGTAAAATAGACGATGAATCAGTAGGTGAAATGACACCTGTACTTTTACACGGTGAAGTAGATGCTGAATTCTGTTTTTGATTTAAAAGTAGATTTAAATGCCTTGCCACTGTTTTTTCTAATCGTTTAACAGATTTTTGAGAATTAATCAAATCGGTTTTCTTTAATTCAGCTTCATGAGAAAGACGATGAATTTCAGAAGTCTTGTTTTTAAGTGTTGTCTTCGCAATCATTAATTCTTCAGCCTAAAAATAATAATAATAACAATTATTTAGGGAATTAGTTTAACAAACCTGAAGTTTTATTGTATGCTTTTGCTCTTCTAACTGTTTCTCAAGTCCATCAATAGTTAATTTGTGTTGTTTTTCTAACTCTTCAGTGGTGCTCTTTTGATTCACCTCTTCTTTCGTTTTACTTTCAAGTTGAAACTGAAGTTCATCACAGCGTCTCTGGATACTAAGGATGCAGTTTTTCTCTTCAACTAGCTGTTGTCTCAATGATGAAATTGTTTGTTCATTCTTTTGCCTAAATGTGTATACAACGAAATTATGTTATAAGATGAAAACAAATTTAGACAACACAAATTTTTCTAAGGAATAGACGATAATTAATCTCAGTGATGTAGCGGAAAAGAAACGTGGACACGCACATACACATACAGAGATACAGGAAACCACCTTCGAAAATAGGCATGTCTTCATTCATCTTTACTCATTTGTACCTCTGGTGTCCATTTTGTTAGCTATTATAATTTTTATAAATATTCTTAATTGTGGTAGACTGGATTAGGTTGAAGAAAGTGGGGAGTGAGAAGACAGGAATACATGGGACGACCGATAAGAAGACTCCATCTAGAAAATCTGGATTTCGCAGATGATACATGTTTAGTGTCACACAAACTCGAAGACTCACGGGCAAAAAGCAACAAACTGGCTGAAGAAGCAGCCGATGAAGACAGGACTCCAGGTGAACATACAGCAGACATATGTGATGAAGATAACCAACCAGCCAACAGCAACAACAACCAGCACCAATCACCATCAACGAGATAGATTTGACAGAGGTTAATTTCTTTACTTACCTAGGAAGCACGGTTTCAACCACAGGCTGTCGGAACCGATGAAGATGTCAAAGCTGGCTAGCCAGAATCAGAAAAGCAAAATACGCCTTCACCACTCTGAAACCAGTTTGGAAATCTGCACTCCCCCTCCTCCACACAAAGAACGAGATTCGGATTTTCAACACAAATTTGAAGTCAGCCACTGCTTGCATACAGATCAGAAACTTGGTCGGTGCGTCAAGAAAAGAATTTCCAACAAGTTACAGACTTTTGTCAACAGCTGCCACCTCCGCTGGCTCCATACTGAAGATTAAATAGCCGGTCGGCCAGAAAGAGTTAGCAACAAGAAACTTTGACTGGGAACAAACTAACAAACAAGAGCCAATCGCCCAACAAATATGTAGAAGAAAATGCAGATGGATCGGGCATACGTTGAGAAGACCGTCGAATGACATCGCTCGCCATGCAGGACATTGCTGGCATGGAATCTCAGTGGGAAGCGACTAGTGGGTCGTCGGTGTCAGGGTGATATGGAGATCGTGCGATTTGGAGGAGATGAGTGATAAAGGACAATCATGGACCCAGATGTTGAGAACGGCAGAAAACAGAACAAAGTGGAGATGTGTCTTTGAAGACAAATGTTCCACTCGGAACGCAATGGAATAATAAACAAATAAAATACTATTTAATATTAATCTATCTATAACTTCAAGTAATCTCGGTTGAGCAAGATTCGACATTGAATGGTCTCTAAGTATCTGGTGGCTTATTTTTATAGCGTGTAGGCCACAAAATACCTGATCTATCACATATATATCCAACTAACATCAAATATAAGGATACAAACGAGAATGAAGAAAAAAGTGACAATTCAACGAGGTTTGAAAAGAATATTTAATTCACAACAGCACACAAAAACGTAAAACACAGAAATAGAATAGCAATACTATAGTGACCTTCTGGGCACCGAAGAACAATTAGGTCTAAATTAAACAAAGTAATTCTTAAATAAATAAACATCAACTAAGTGAACTGCTATACTGTCTAACAGAAGCTGAATCTCTTCATGACATCAGCGCTAGTGGAACTAAAAAATTCCCCTCTACACTCATCAAGAAGCATGGAAACTAGCGTATACAGTACGTAAACTTTGTCGTTTAAACCCAGTTTACAGTATACACTATATTAGTATTCCACACATTTAAAAAAATATCCAATCACTATGCTAATATGTGCTATATTCTTGAACACATAGTTGTTACTCAGCTATTTTAGAAAATGTTTAAAATAATATGCGAAAATCGCGAAATAGTAAAATGTCCAAGTGCCTTGAGATATAAAGAGGGTAGATAAGCATTTATTGTTTAGATTTTCTATTCACCTTGTGGTTGGTATGGATTTTGTTTAACATCCGCTACACTTTCCCATTATTTTCACTGAAAACACAAGTTGGTTTGGAGTGGCACTACTAAGAACACTTTTCGTATATTCGTGCATCAGTTTCCATTTCGTATAATTTCTGTAGCCTAAAGATCAGTAGCTGGACGTTAACAGTCTCTCCATTACTGTGGAAAGACTGGTTGTATTTAAACTCAGAGCTTTACTTTTGGATGAATGTTCATAGTTGCACTAGCTGTGGTGGCTGACACATCACCTAGGCCATCAACTTTATGGAAAGAACGTACATGTCCTGACAGCTGTGTCGTAGGGTTAAAAAAACAGTAAATATTTCTCTGACTTCGAGAAGTAAAGATATTCCTTAGGGCACCTCTTGCCAAAGTATAATTAGGTCTAACATAAAAGTTAATATTAAGGTAATTAAGTATTAGTTTGTTTCCAGATGTTTACGGCATTTCACTCCCTTAACTGATATGTATCCAAGCAGCCACAACTGCCATTTTCGCGCTCCCATTATGCTGCTAGCTCAGTCGTTAACAGCCATATAATTTACAAAATTTCTACTGACACGATTTCAACCACTTACAATTCAAATATATTGGTATTTGACAGCACGCGTTTAAGAATTTCTGTATTTTGATTTTCTTTACTTATCGGTACTTACAGACTACGCAAGCTAATGATTGACTGACTGAGATACTAACTTAAAACAAAAAGGTGCAGCACTTTGTAAAACATGCATGAGGTAGAGGAGAAAAATACAATGAAACTAGAACAAACAGAAATATAGGGGGTAGAGTATAACTACGCGATTAACGAAGATTTAAGGAGTTTGAAAGAATGAGTGAATAAATTAGTGCCACTGAGAATAGTCTCGACCCACTTTAGTAATAGTCTGCAGTCAAGCCGAAAACTAAGAAACCAAAACACATCCAGTCTTTCTCTTACAGCTGGAAAAGGTATGTGATACCGATTAGTATAATGAATATTAGGGATAATGATTGTAATTACGATCCTCATTAGAAATGAACTTTCAAATCACATCATAAAGTCTTCTAACATTAATTCTGTTGGTGTGCTTCATTAGTGAAAGCGTTTGAACTTTAGTCACCAAGTTTCAGCCATTCATGGTAACTTTCAACTTGGGATCTTATACGATATTAACATCTAGTTCCTCAAAAATTGTTTATATATATACGAACATAAGTATCAACAGTTTATAGCAAAATACCTCAATCTTTCGTAATCTGATTTAAGTGCTTCATTTTCTTTCTCAAGATTCTGTAGATGCGTCGAAAAGTCACTTTTTTCCGCAATCAATTGTTTCTGATATTTCCTTTGAAGATTAGTGTAACTCGACTTCATTGCATCGATCTTACAACTCAGCTCTTCAATTTGTTTCTCACAATCAGTGTTTGAATGTTTAGATTCCAATAAGTTAAGACGCATGATGGCTTTTTGTAACTGTGATAACATTAGTTGAAAAATAGTTCTTACATCTTTTTCCTTTTCACCAACAAGGTCTTGAAGTCTGTTATTTTCTTTAACTTTCACTGCTAACTTCTTTTCGAGAGCATGTAGGTCTTTCTGCCAGTCGCATTTCTTTTTTTCAATCAGCATATCAATTTCGATAAGAAGTTCTTGCAACTCACATTCAAATTCAGACATGTGAGGAACTAGAAAGCCAAAGTTTTTCAATCTTATATAATGAAGTTGCTTTTCAAATGTACTTACATGTTATTCTTTAGTTTTTGTTTCCCACTACTCAAACGAGTATTTGTACAATCAAAAGTATCTGACATTTTCTAAAACTTAAAGAGACGCAAAACACTAAGTCTAGTAACGTGGTAGCAACAAACAAAACTATTGAACCTTGGTAGCAGACAACCAGCAAGCACACAGATAAAGAAAGCAGAACGCGAACTGTGCAAGAGAGAGTTTGTTCCATGACATGGACTTTTAAAGAGCGACTTTATTGCATATCCCCTCAATGATGTTTGTCTGTATGCTGCTATTGGTTTCAAGTGGCCTTGGTTTCGGGGCGAGATTTAACTGATGTAATATTGTGATTTCATAGACATATCTCAGGCTCATACGTCTAAGAAAGTTATTATCCTGTAATAGGGAAAAGTTGTTCAGAAGGTAAGGAGGACGTTATTTTTCAGCTTATTTGTGTATATGCTATTGTGCACCGAGTTGCATTGAGTTCTTAGTGCAACTGTATGTAACTGCATTTACATAAAATGAAACATTAGGAATGCTCCTGTTTCTAGAAGAAAAACATTCTTATTATCATTAAGTTTAGTAATGAAGAATGGAATTTCTTCAACGTCAATGTTATTTAATTGAAGTTGTAATCTGTGTAGGCCCTCGGAGGAATAAATTCGGCATGGAAATCTCCTATGTAAACCGAAAGTGCTTTTAGTTTAGTAAATCTTACTAACTTCCTGTATAAATTAGATATTTGTCAAGTGTATATTTCAAATCTGCTGGAGTATTCAGTAAAGGAAAAGTTGTGGTGCATGATTCCAAGACTTGTTGTAGTCATTGGTATTGCCAGGATACCACTTACTCGTTTTATGCAGCCGAAATATACAAATCTCGCTTTATTGAGGAAACACTATAATGCCTGCAAAAGTATTGCGTCAGTTAATGAGTTTCATAAATTCTACAGAATGTTTTCTATTCAGTGATTACTGTTTGCGAATTATCCGAGAAAACACATTTCCAATTGGGATGTAACACAAGGCTGAATTCTTAAACTCTCATCCTTATATCATTTCAATC